ATTTTTTATCATTATTTATAAATTCTCCCATTTGGGAGCATTTAAATTGTAAGTTTTTACTTTTACAACTAATGCTGCAGCGAACATCCTGAGCATGTTTATATAAATTTGCAAGTATTTTTCTAGGACAGATGCCTAAGATGTGGAATTGCTGGTTCATAGAATATGCACATTTAAAGTTTTTAAATCAGTACCAAATATTCTCCAAATAAATTGCAATGGGGCAGGGCACGCTGGCTCATGCCTGTAATCCCAGCACTTTGGGAGGCTGAGGCAGTTGGATCACCTGAAGTCAGGAGTTCAAGACCAGCCTAGCCAACATGGCGAAACCCCGTCTCTACTAAAAATAGAAAAATTAGCCAGGTGTGGTGGCAGGCACCTGTTGTCCCAGCTACTCAGGAGGCTAAGGCATGAGAATAGCTGGAACCTGGGAGGCAAAAGTTGCAATGAGCCTTGATCACACCACTGCACTCCAGCCTGGGTGACAGAGCAAGAGGCTGTATTAAAAAAATTTAAAAATGGCCGGGTGTGGTGGCTCACACCTGTATTCCCAGCACTTTGGGAAGCTGAGGCGGGTAGATCACGAGGTCAGAAGTTTGAGACCAGCCTGGCCAATATGGTGAAACACCGTCTCTACTTATAATACCAAAAAAAAAAAAATTAGCTGCTCATGGTGGCACATGCCTGTAGTGCCAGCTACTCAGGACTGCTGAGGCCGAAGAATCGCTTGAACCTGGGAGGCGGAGGTTTCAGGGAACTGAGATTGCGCCACTGTACTCCAGCCTGGGTGACAGAGTGAAGACTCTATCCCAAAAAAAAAAGTAAAATAAAAAAATTTTTAAACTTAAAAAAATTAAAAAAAGAAATTGTACTGGTTTATATTTCCTACTACCAATATGTTAGAGTCTCTGTTTTCCAAATGCTTCCAATTCAGCACAGAACCAAGCATCCAGATTTTTGCTAATCTGATATATAGAAATAGCCTCTCACTTGTTTTAGTTGGCATTTTATCCAAGAGCAAAGTTGAGATACTTTTCATATATTTAAACATGATTTCTTTTCTGTAAACTGTTTATGTCTTTTTCCTATTTTTCTATTGGATTGTGGGTCATTTTGTTCCTAGTTTATAAGAATTTTATATATATTAAAAATGTTGGCCTTTGGAGGTTTATAATGGCCTTTTTTTGTTTCTTTGTTTAGAGTTTATAGATTGTTTTTTGACTTTGTATTTTTCGACATAGGATTTTAAACGATTTTAAGGGTCAAATATAACTTTCTTACCTTTTAAATGACTTCTTGAGTTTGTCATGCTCAGAAAGATCTTTTCTACACTAAAATTTATAGTTTTAGAATTCTCTCATATTACTTATTTCATTTTTTTTGGTTTAAATCTTCAGTACATCTGGAATTTATTTTGGAGTAAGGGATGAGGTAAGATTGCAACCTAGTTGTTTTTTTTTTTCTTTGTTCCAGAGGGCTACTTAGTTATCCTAGTAACATTTATTGGGTAATCCATCTTTTTATACATCGATTTAAAATGCTGCCTTTATCAAACCTAAATTTGTATATGTATTTGGTTTACTTCTAGGCTTTCTGTCTCTTTATCTAGCATATCTCTGTATGTGCTAGTATCATATCATTTTGGCTGGGCATGGCAGCTCACACCTGTACTCTTAGCTCTTTAGGTGGTTGAGATAGGAAGATCGCTTGAGCCCAGGAGCTCAGGACCAACCTGGGCAACATAGTGAGAACTTGTCTCCATTAAAAAATACATAAATTAGCTCGGTGTAGTGGCACATGCCTGCGGTCCCAGCTACTTGGGAGGTTCAGGTGGGTGGATGGCTTGAGCCCAGGAAGTAGAGGCTGCAGTGAGCAATGTTTGCACCACTGCACTTCAGCCTAAGTGACAGAGACCCTATCTCAAAAGAACAAACAAAACCAAAACACACACACACAAAATTGTTTTAACATGATTTTATAGTGTGTTTTAATGCCTGGTAAGACATTAATGCATATTCTTTCTTTTTCCTAAATATTCTTATGCATTTATTTTTCCATGTCGACTTTAGAATTGACCAGGAAAAAATATCCTGTTGGCATTTTGACTGGGATTGCACTAATATAAATTAATTTGTGGGAAATGACGTATAGGCAACATTGAGATTACCTAAGAACTGATTGTAGTTCCACTTACTCAAGTTCTTAGTATTCTACAGTAGACTTAAACATTTTTTTTCCATGTCAATCTTATGTTTCTTAAGTATATTCCTAGTTATTTAATTTTTTTTTTCTACTTTGTTGGCTCCCCCACAATGTAGTTATTTCATTTTTTTATGTCTTTTTTTTTTTTTGCTATTATAAACAGGATATTCTCTTTTATGGCCTAACCAGTTATTATTTACATATAGAAAAGATAGTGATTTTTTAAAATCTTGATTTTTGTATATCAACTTTATATTTACCCATTTCATTAAATTTTCTTACTGTTTTTAATGGTTACAGTTGATTTTCTTGTATTTTCACCTACCAGGAAATGATAGTTTGATCTTCTTTCTTTCAAGACCAGCCTGGCCAACATGGTGAAACTCCATCTCGCCATGTTGGCCAGGCTGGTCTTGAAAAAAGTAATGAAATAAATTTTATTTTTCTTACCTGATTGGCCAACTTCTTCCAAACAGTGTTATGAAATAGTGGTGGTAATTGAAATCTTTGTCATACTAAGTTAGTGGTAGCAGTTGGAACCTTTGTCATTCTCATTGTCTTTTAATACCGATACTGGTTTTTGGGCTGGAGTGGGGAGAAATTTTTATTAGGTTAAAAAAGTATCCATTTGTTTTCTTGATCAGTGTAGCTAAAGGCTTTTCAATTTTGTTATTCTTTTCAAAGAATTTTTTGATTCACTTATTTTTTTCTACATTTTATCTTATTTTTCTTCTAAATTCCTTTTTTTTCTGCTTGCTTTGTGTTTACTCTGCTCTTTTTCTAGTTTTTTAAGGTAGAAGGATGGATTATTAATTTGATATTTTTCTTTTAGAATATAGGTTAGACTTAAAATTGAAGTTTATAAATTAAAATTTTTTCCAAGCACTAGTCTACTGTATCATTTAATTTTTGGTATGTTGTGCCTCCATTTCTATTTTTGTTCTGATAATTTTTTTTTTTTTTTTTTTTTTTAAGACACAAGGTCTCACTTTGTCACCCAGGCTGGAGTGCAGAGTACGATCATAGCTCACTGCAGCCTTGAACTCCTGGGCTCAAGTGATCTTCCTGTCTCAGCCTCTCGAGTAGCTGAGACTACAGGCACATGCCACTACAAGAATGTTTTTTAATAGATATTATTCATATGCCTTTAACATCATAGAACTTTTCTTATTTTGATTTATTAATAATGGCATATTATATTAATAGTTTCTTATTACAGGATCATACTTACTTTTTTTTGAGACAAGATCCTGCTCTTTGCCCAGGCTGGTGTGCAGTGGTGCACGTGATTACAGCTCACTGCATCTGTGACTTCCCAGGCTCACGTGATTCTCCCACCTGCGCCTGAACTTCTTGGAGTAGCTGGGACTATAGGCCGCATGCCACCATGCCTGACTAATTTTTTTTATTTTTAGTAGAGACAAGGTCTCACTACATTGCGCAGCCTGATCTTGAACTCCTGGGCTCAAACAGTCTTCCCTACTTGGATTCTCAAAGTGCTGGTATTACATAAGCCTGAGCCATTGTGCCCATCCATATGCCTGGATTCTTGAATTCCACTGGGTTGTGTTGTATTCTTTTGATATTCTGATGTTGATTATCTGTTTCTTTTTTTAAAAAGGGATTTTGAAAGTCCATACACATGAGTGACATTTTCTGAAGTTTTCTTTCATTATATTTTGGCAGATGTTATCTGTTATGCTGGCTGTAATGCCAGCGCTTCAGAAGGCTGAAGTGGGCAGATCACTTGAGGTCAGGAGTTTGAGACCAGCCTGGCCAACATGGTGAAACCCCATCTCTACTAAAAATACAAAAATTAGCTAGATGTGGTGGCACATTCCTATAATCCCAGGTACTTGGGAGGCTGAGGCAAGGAGGCAAGAGAATTGCTTGAACCCAGGAGGTGGAGGTTGCAGATCACACCACTGCACTTCAGCCTGGGTGACACAGTGTGACTCCGTCTAAAAAAATAAAGTTGGGAAGGTTTTTTCCCTTCAGTGATCTGAAACATTTAAATAGCATTGAAGTTCTCTTACTTGTTATAGAATTCAGTGATGAAACCTTCTGGACCTAGTGTTTTATTTCTGTCTCTCTCTGTGTTCATGCACGCGCGTGCACGTGTCTGTGTGTGCGTCTATCTCTTTTTTTCTCTTTTTTTTGTGGCAGGGTCTTACTCTGTCACCCAGGCTGAAGTTAAGTGGTGTGATCTTGGACTCACTGCAACTTCTGCCTCCCAGATTCAAGCGATTCCCATGCCTCAGCCTTCTGAGTAGCTGGGATTACAGCTGTATGCCACCACACCTGGCTAATTTTTGTATTTTTGGTAGAGTTGGGGTTTTTGCCATGTTGGCCAGACTGTTCTCAATCTCCTGAACTCAAGTGATCCACCTGCCTCAGCCCCCCAAAGTCCTGAGATATTACAGGCGTGATTCACCGAGCCCAGCCTGTCTCTCTATCTCTATAGCAGAGTTCTTCTTACTGGTCTTTACTGTCTTGTGAAATCTAGGAATATTTCATACAAACCCCTTGCTCCTATATACCAAAATTGGAATTGTATTGCAGTTCAAACATGGAGGGACAAACATTTCACTTTCCTTGTCAGAATATGTTATGAAACTGAGGCTTTAACTTTGTAAGAAACATTCCGTGTTTAAAACAGCAACAAAAATTCCATGTTGAATATTGTTGAATCTCTTTGAGTACTTACACATAATTTACCTTTTGCAAATTTATTCAGTATTGTAAATGTTCATTTTTACTTAATGGAGCTATAAATTAATCTTTTTTTTATTGTATAGAAATTTACAGCAACAATGTCAACACCAGATAAGAAAGCTTCACAGAAGATTGGTTTTCGATTACGTAATCTGCTCAAGCTTCCCAAAGCACATAAATGGTGCATATACGAGTGGTTCTATTCAAATATAGATAAGTATGTATCATGGCTTATATCATGAATATTACTTGAATCAAAATTTAAGTTTTTCAAGTGTTTTAAGCTACAACATTTTCTAAAGGTCTATTTTGATCTTATTTTTTCCTGAATTTATTTTTCTATTCTGCCTTCCAGTTGGATCTATTCTGTTTGTCACAGTTTTCTTCCCTGTTAATCATTTTTGGGAAAGAAAAGTATACATTTTTGTGAAGAATTAATTGGAGTATAATTTCGGTGTTATAATTGTTAAAGACTATGGAGTAGAGATACCTTAAAATAACATTATTTGCAATGAATGAGATTCATTTTATAATTGAGAAGTTAAGTGCTGGTATATCATAGAATAATCATTATTAATGGTAAAAAATGGCTTAAGATTTTTAGGAAGGTAGTCTTTCTAGTTTGGATATGGTACGTACGCATGTTAGGTATACACATATGCTTAAGTATAACATAGTATGAGATTTGGCTGAAATACAATCATTCGTCAGCGGAATTTACTGAAGAAAAATTCTTATTTATAATCCTTCCTCATATGGCAGTCATTGCTGCTTGCTTTGCTGGATATTTATGTTTACTCCCCTTCTCTGTTTTCCATACCAGTTGCCTACTCTGGAGCTTGTGAATCTAATGAATGTTTGTATTTGAGCCCAAGGCATTTATGTATCATTGCCAACACTGGTTCGTGGTTTTGCAGACTTATGAATAAAATTATTTTATTTTTGTCCATAGGCATAAGAGAGCTTTCCTGATGTCTCAGTGTGATCTGAGTTCTTCTGGGATCCCCCGAGCTAATCTAGCCCTCTAGAGTCCTCCAGTGTCCCAATACTGGTTTAATTCGAAAGAGGACTCCTTGGTGATGGTATTCCTTTGGGACAAAGATAATTTGTAGCTAACTTTGTTTATCTTCACCTGATATGAGGCCAGGGCCAGGATAGCCTCTCTGTATAAGAGATTGAGCAAAAATCAGTGTCTCTTGGAATCACAGCACAAATAATATTTCCTGAGCAACTTTCACACCACATTAGATGTTTCACAAATGCCAAGGATTTCATTTTAGCACTTTGAATTTGTGCTTATTTCGTGTGTGTGTGTGTGTGTGTGTGTATGGGGTAGAAGTGAAAGTTTAGCATTTTGTTTTATGTGTTTTAAGAAATTAACACATTGTATGTAACCATTAAAATACTATTTCTGTTTTACAGACCACTTTTTGAAGGTGATAATGACTTCTGTGTATGTCTGAAGGAATCTTTTCCTAATTTGAAAACAAGAAAGTTAACAAGAGTAGAATGGGGAAAAATCAGGCGGCTTATGGGAAAACCACGGAGGTAAAAATAATGTTTTTGTTTAAAATAAAATCAAGCCAGGAGCAGTGCATGTACTTATAATCCCAATTACTTGGAAGGCTAAGATGGGGCATTCACTTGAGGCCAGGAGTGTAAGGCTGTAGTATTCTGTGATGACACCTGTGAATAGTCACTGCACTTCAGCCTGGGCAACATAGTGAGACCCTTCCTCTAAAAAAGAATTTGAAAATAAAATCAATAAATAATAGTGATTAGTATCATTACTCCATTGATTTTTTTAATCTTTAAAACGACTAGTACCAAAACATAACTTTTCGGAATAATTATGTGTTAAATACATCCTGTAAACCAACTTTAATGTAGATGCTGTTTATACTTATGCATATTAAATTAAATGCACAATTTTATTTTGTTAGGATCACAGGCTTTGAACATAATTTTTTTTGTTTTACATTACTTGTGTCCCTCAATATTCCAAAAAATATTTAAGAATGTCCTAAAAAGTATTTAAGGATGCTGTAAAGTTCCATTTACATTTTGGTTATCTTTTGTGAAATCCTTTATCACCTCAGGAGCCTTCCCAGACGTGTCTATTTTACTTTATATAAAAGTAGAAAACAAGTTAATCTATCTAATACATTACTTTCTGAGAATTACTCTTTGTGTGAAATGATTTTTTCCTTTTCCATTGTTATCCTGGTAACACGTTGGAAAACCTTATATTACTTTTGAGTGAAAATTGGAAATATGTTAGAAGAAGAATTAGATCATTAGTTCTCACATTATGTCTCTCTGCCTGGTAAAAAGTATGTGTAAGACTTTTTCTTTTTTGAGACGGAGTTTCCCTCTTACTACCCAGGCTGGAGTGCAATGGCGCGATCTCGGCTCACCGCAACCTCCGCCTCCTGGGTTCAGGCAATTCTCCTGCCTCAGCCCCTTGAGTCGCTGGGATTACAGGCACGCGCCACCATGCCCAGCTAATTTTTGTATTTTTAGTAGAGACGGGGTTTTGCCATGTTGGCCAGGCTGGTCTTGACCTCCTGACCTCAGGTGATCCACCCACCTTGGCCTCCCAAAGTGCTGGGATTACAAGCATGAGCCACCACATTTGGCCTCTTTTTTTTTTTTTTTTTTTTTTTTTAATTAGATGAGTTAATTCTAAAATTCACATTTAAGAAGGGAGATATCAAGCAGGAAAATTCTGAAAAAGCAAAGTAATGAAGAGAAACTCCATTTTAAAGAGCACTTCAAAATAGATTATAAAGTGACCATAATTAAAGCAGAGAGGTAGTGATGCATAAACAGAAAAATGAATGAAAAAGCAGAGAAAACCCAGATACGGTCACTATGGGAATTTTGTATAATAGTTGCAATGATTGCTTCTCAAGTACATGGTGAAGAAAAGAATGGATTATTTATTTAATGGAAATTGAGAACTACTGTTTAGCAGTCTATAGAAAAAACAGGTTGTTTTCATGCCTTACAACTAGGAAATATTTGAAAAGGATTGAAGATTTAAATATTTTTTAAAATGAAAGATTAAAACAAGAGAAAAACAAGGGAGAGTTTTACAATCTTGAATTGGAAAAGGACTTTCTCTTTTTTTTTTTTTTTTTTTGCGATGGAGTCTTCTTTGCCGCTCAGGCTAGAGTACAGTGCTCTGTGTTGATCTTGGCTCACTGCAACCTCTGCCCCCTAATCTCAAGTGATTCTCCTGCCTCAGCCTCCTGAGTAGAGTAGCTGGGACTATAGGCATCTGCCACCATACCAGGCTAACTTTTGCATTTTTAGTAGAGACAGGATTTCTCCATGTTGGCCAGGCTGGTCTCAAACTCCTGACCTCAGGTGATCCGCCCGCCTCCGCCTCCCAAAGTGCTAAGATTACATGTATGAGTCACTACAACCAGCCTGGAAAAGACCTTTCTAACAGGCTTCAAACCTAGAACTCATAAAAGAAAACACTAATAAATTTAACTATACAAAAATAAGAACATTTTACATGGCCAAAAACAAAAGCCCATAAGCAGAGTTGAAAGACAGTGACAGAAATATCTATCACATCTTATCACAGAGAGCTAATTTCCTATTATGTAAAGAACTCCTATCAATAAAAAAGTGTCAAGTAACCCATAATAAAAATGATTATAAATAGATAATTCAGACTGAGTGTGGTGGCTCACACCTGTAGTCCCAGCACTTTGGGGGGCTGAAGCAGGAGGATAACTTGAGCTCAGGAGCTCAAGACCAACCTGGGCACCATGATGAGACCCCATCTCTACCACAAAAAAAAAAATCCAAAAATTAGTTGGGTATGGTGGCATGTGCCTGTAGTCCCAGCTACTTGGGACGCTGAGGTGGGAGGATCATTTGAGCTCTGGATGTTGAGGCTGCAGTGGGCCATGATCATGCCACTGCACTCCAATCTGGGCAAGAGAATAAGACCCTGCCTCAAATATAAGCAAATAAAATAAAAATAGCCAGTTGAATGACACATGCCTGTGGTCCTGGCTACTTTAAATTGTATATGTCTAAGGTATCGGTGAAGGATCTATAAGAAAAGTATAATGGCTGGGCACGTTGACTCACACTTGTAATCCCAGCACTTTGGAAGGCTGAGGCAGGCAAATCATGAAGTCAAGCACAAGAACAGCCTGGACAATATGGTGAAACCCCGTCTCTACTAAAAATAGAAAAATTAGCTGGGTGTGGTGGTACACACCTGTAGTTCCAGCTACTCAGAAGGCTGAGGCAGGAGAATTGCTTGAACCTGGGAGGCGGAGGTTGCAGTGAGCCAAGATTGCACCACTGCACTCCAGCCTGGGTGACAGAGCAAGACTCTGTTTTAAAAAAAAAAAAAAAGAAGAAAGTATAACGATGATCCTCTGGGAAGCAGACGGGTAATGAGGAACACAGGTGTTAAACTTTTCAGTGTCTTTTGAACCTTTTAAATTACACATCATGTAAACTATATTCAAAAATATTAACTATTAACTATTCAAAAAACACTGTTTAAGTAAAATGTGGCTGGTGAAACCATGTATATTATATCCATAATGAATGAAGAAAAATAAATTTGTCAACTATAGGGAGATAGTATGGGTCCTGGGTTTTTATGTCAAGAGGACTTTTTTGGTATCTTTTTAAAATTGATATATAATAGTTATACATATTTTGGGAGTATATGTATACAATGTATAATGATCAAATCAGGGTAATTGGGATACCCATTACCCCAAACATTTATCTTTTCTTTGTGTTGGGAAAATTTTTCTCTTCTAACTATATGGAAATAGTCAATTAAAAAAAAAGTAAAAGCAAAAGAAAAAAAGTCAATAAATTATTAACTATACTTTTCCTACTATACTGTTGAATACTAGAACTTATTCCTTCTTAGCCAACTTCTCTTCATCCTCCCCTCCCTTTTCCCTTCCCAGCCTCTGGTAACCACCATTCTGTTAATAATTTCTACCTCCATGAGAGCCACATTTTTAGCTTCCATGTATAAATAAGAGCGTGTGATGTTTGTTTTTCTGTGCCTGGCTTATTTCACTTAACATATTGACTTCCAGTATCATCTAGGTTGCTGCAAATAACAGGATTTCATTATGTTTTATGGCTGAATAAGATTCCATTTTTGCATATATACCACAGTTTAAAATTCCCTTCATCTGTTGATGGACACTTAGGGTGATTCCGTATCTTGACTGTTGTAAATCATGCTGCAATAAACGTGGAAGTACAGATATCTGTCTCTAATATACTCATTTCATGTTTTGAATATACACATAACCGTGGGATTGCCGGATCATAGGGTAGTTTTTAGTATTTTGAGGAACCTCCTTACTAATTTCTATAATGGCTATATGCCAGAAAGACTTCTAAAAGTTGTTACGCACAGCAGCAGCAAGTCTGTTTTTATGGTACTACTTAGCTTACTAGTAACCCATTACCCTTTTTTTTATCTTCTAATATTCTTGCCATGTATATAGCTTGAATCAATATTCAACAAGTTCAGAAATCATAATATACAATATGTCATATTATCAGCTAAGATCTTTCTGTGTATTTCCAGTCCTTATTCATCCTTGCTTACAACAATTCATTTTATACATTGCTGGTCTTTATATTCTTTTTCTCATTGTTTTTATTTAGTTTTTGAGACAAATGACAATAGAGCTCACAATGTACCTTTGAAAGTGAAAACCATAACATGGCATGAAAGTGATGTTTAAATACATTGCGTCATCCTGGGATTTGAAAATGGAAGCAAGATAGACTCTAGAAATAAGAGGGAATTCAGCATTTATACTTTTAAGGCAGAAATTTCTGTATGATTAAAAGTTTACATACTAGCAAGTCTCATCTTTAACTCCTATATTGGTGTGTTTACTGGGTCACAGAGAAAATGTCATGTTCTTCTGGGTAGAATATTGAAATTGAACATTGTCCCTATGAGATCTAGGTTCCAGGTACAATTTTATCAAAAGATAGTAAAAAAATTAATTTGCTTTGTAGGAAGGAATAACCTGCTTTGTATATGAGTCTTGCATGGTCCTGTTTTTTACAAAATAAAAGGTAATTTACTGAGAAATGAAAGTTTCTTTTTCTTTCTCTTTTTTGAGACTAGGTATTGCTTTTTTGCCCAGGCTGGAGTGCAGTGGTGCAATCTTGGCTCACTGCAACCTCTGTCTCCTGGGCTCAAGCAATTCTCCCACCTCAGCCTTCCAAGTAGCTGGGACTACAGGTGCATGCCACCACACCCAGCTAATTGTTGGCTTGTTTGTTTTTTGGTATTTTTGGCAGAGACAGGCTTTTACCATGTTGCCCAGGCTGGTCTCAAACTCTTGAGCTCAGGCAGTCCACCCGCCTTGGCCTTCTGAAGTGCTGGGATTACAGGCATGAGCCACCTTGCCCAGGTTTTTTTTCTTTTTCTTTTTTTTTAGAGACAGAGTCTCCCTCTGCACTCCTGCAGTCTGGAGTGCAGTAGTATGATCACAGCTCACTGCAGCCTCAACTTCTTGGGCTCAAATGATCCTCCTGCCTCAGCCTCCCAAGTAGCTGGATGTACACCATCATGCCTAGCTAATTTTTTTATTTTTAGTAGAAACTAGGCCTCACTGTGCTGCCCAGGTTGGTCTCGACTGGGCTCAAGCAGTTATCCCACCTTGGACTACCAAAGTGTTGGGATTACAGACATGAGCCACCACGATTGGCCAGAAAGAAACAATTTCCTTTTTTTGAGATGGAATTATACTCTGTCACTCAGGCTGGAGTGAAATGGTGTGATCTTGGCTCACAGTAGCCTCTGTCCCCCGGAACAATTCTCCTGCCTCAGCCTCCTGAGTAGCTGAGATTATAGGCGCCTGACAGCACGCCCAGCTGATTTTTGTATTTTTAGTAGAGATGGGGTTTTGCCATGTTGGCCAGGCTAGTCTCGAACTCCTGACCTCAGGTGATCCACCTACCCAGACCCCCCAAAGTGCTAGGATTACAGACGTGAGCCACCGCACCCAGCCAGAAACAGTTTCTAAGAACCTATTTTTGAATATGGTATACTTAATGAGAAGAAAAAAAGGAATAGTGAGATGGATGGATAGATTTTGTTTTTGTTTGTTTGTTTTTTAAGCTAGAGTGTCACCCAGGCTAGAATGCAGTGGTGCCATCTCGGCTCACCGCAACCTCCACCTCCCAAGTTCAAGTGATTCTCCTGCCACGGCCTCCTCAGTAACTGGGATTACAGGTGCCTGCCACTACACCCAGCTAATTTTTGTATTTTTAGTAGAGATGGGGTTTTGCCATTTTGGCCGTGCTAGCCTCGAACTCCTGACCTTAGGCGATCTGCTCACCTCGGCGCATCAAAGTGTTGGAATTACAGGTGTGAGCCACTGCATCTGGCTGATTTTAAGTTTTTAATCCCAGTACTTTGGGAGGCCAAAAGTGGGTGGATCTCTTGAGCCCAGGAATTTGAGACCAGCCGGGGCAACATGGGGAACCCCATCTCTATCAGAAATACAAAAAATTAGTTGGGCATGGTAGTGTGCGCCTATAGTCCCAGCTACTCAGGAGGCTGAGGCAGGAGATTCGCTTGAGCCCAGGAGGTGGAGGTTGTTGTGAGCCGAGATTGTGCCACTGCACTCCAGCCTTGGTGACAGAGTGTGACCCTATCTCAAAAAAAAAATAAAAAGGTTTTAAGTTTTTATATAGAGTAGTTACCAGTTTATATGGTTTTTATAATTTATTCTAGATGTTCTTCTGCATTTTTTGAGGAAGAGAGATCAGCATTAAAACAGAAACGGCAGAAAATAAGGCTCTTACAACAAAGGAAAGTTGCAGATGTTTCACAATTCAAAGATCTCCCAGATGAAATTCCTTTGCCTCTGGTTATTGGAACCAAAGTTACAGGTAAGTGAAAACAAGCTAATTACTATTTTGACTTGTAATTTTTAATCAAGATAATTTTTAAGTTTCTTTAGTTTTTATTTTATTTTTAATTACCAACAAATATTTACAATAAAGATCGTTAACCCTCTATCCCTATCCCTTAACTCCCTCTGAGCCTGGCTGATGTGCAGGGATGGAGTAGGGGTTCTGTAGTACACATCACTTGATCTTTTTTTTCCTTAGTGACTTTGATTTTTGATTAGGACATGTGTACACGTACACATGGGACAAAATTCTGAAGGTATAAATAACCCAGATAATCTGTATTCGAGAAATGGCTTTTGAATTTAGAAAGCTTAAACTATAGCTCTGTGTAGTTTACTATAGAAGTTACTCTTTCTTCATTCATGAAATCTTTTTCAAAGTAATTAGGAAAAAGCATACTGGTTCAAAGTAACATCTACTACAATATAAACTAAAGCAAACTGCCACAAAGATGAAATTTAATAATCTATTGGAGAAAGTATGGCTATGTATAATTTAAAAGTTTGTTTTGTTTTCTGTGGGTTTTTCTTTTTTTAAGACTGTGTCTCACTCTGTCACCTTGGCTGGGGTACGTTGGTGTGATCTTGGCTTACTGTGGCCTCGACCTCCCAGGCTCAAGCAATCCTCCTGCCTCAGTCTCCCAAAGTGCTGGGATTACAGGCATGAATCACTGCACCTGGCTGTAAATTTTTTTTAATTTTAAATTATTCTATATTTTTCTTCTACGTTATTTGTTTTCCTTTCCTAACTAGCCTTGTCTGGTTAATTCACAAACGCCATTGTTCTTGTTGACTTTGGGTCTAGAAATAGTCCATTTCTTTTTTTTTTTTTTTTTTTTTTTTGAGACGGGGTTTCGCTCTTGTTACCCAGGCTGGAGTGCAATGGCGCGATCTCGGCTCACCGCAACCTCCGCCTCCTGGGTTCAGGCAATTCTCCTGCCTCAGCCTCCTGAGTAGCTGGGATTACAGGCATGCGCCACCATGCCCAGCTAATTTTTTGTAGTTTTAGTAGAGACGGGGTTTCACCATGTTGACCAGGATGGTCTCGATCTCTTGACCTCGTGATCCACCCGCCTCGGCCTCCCAAAGTGCTGGGATTACAGGCTTGAGCCACTGCGCCCGGCTAGAAATAGTCCATTTCTAATGATTGCGGTAGGAACAAAGAATCTGGCAGGTAAAACTTGACTGGACTTTGTAATTGTTATATGCAGAGTTAGAAGCACAAGAGTTTTGACAGATGCACTGCATTTTCAAAGTAATGGAAAATTTGAATAGTAGAGAAGTTTGGAAAAATGTCTAGATTTGATACTTTAGCTATGACATATAGGAAGTTGTTTGAGACATGATACTTAAGCCACAGTTGTTCGCCTCTGGAGAAATCAGAGTGTTAAAAAAGATATTAAAATCATTGGTTTGTTAAGAAATTATAAGACTCTGAACTATCCTAAAAGTAATCTTCATAAAATGAACAATAATCCCAGGTTATCTGGAATTTTCTGTAGTTTATCTAAATTAAAGGAGTAAATGGAAAAGAAAAAGATTTTATTTATCAAATAAATTTTTCAAAAAATAGAAATGAAGATAATAGGAACAAAGTGCATACACACACACATTTTTTTTTTTTTTTTTTTTTTGAGACAGACTTGCTCTGTCTCCCAGGCCAGAGTGCAGTGGTATAATCTTGGCTCACTGCAGCCTCCACCTCTTGGGCTCAAGTAATCCTCCCACCCACCTCAGCCTCTAGGGACTATAGGCACATACCACCATGCCTGGCTAATTTTTTTGTAGAGATGAGATTTCACTATGTTGCACAGGCTCGTCTTGAACTCCTGAGCTCAAGCAATCCGCCCCCTTGGGCCTCCCAAAGTGCTGGGATTATAGGTGTCAGCCACCACGCCCAGCCTCCTTTAATTCTTTGAACATATTTATAATAGCTGCTTTTTAAGTCTTTGGTAAATATATTATCTCTGTCAATTTCTTACTATACTTTTTTCTTGATTAAGAGCCATGCTTTTCTACTTCTTTACATGTCTAGTAATTTCTAGTGGAAAACTTGATATTTCAGGTAATATATTGTAGCAACTATGTATTCTGATTTTTTGGAGAGTTGTTGGATTTGGTTTAGTGTTGGCTATGGAAACACTGATGTCTCTGCTTCATTTTTTTATTGTTATATTATTATTATTGTTATTAAACCTGGTTTCCAAGGAGTTGCCCCTGTGTCTGCATATAATTTAGTGGTCAGGGCCAAGCGGGGTGGCTCACGCCTGTAATCCCAGCACTTTGGGAGTCTGAGATGGGTGGATTACCTGATGTCAGGGGTTCGAGACCAGCCTGTCTAGCATAGTGAAACCCTGTATCTACTAAAAATACAAAAAAAAACTAGCCAGGTGTGGTGGCGGGCACCTGTAATCCCAGCTATTCAGGAGGCTGAGGCAGGAGAATCACTTGAACCCAGGAGGCAGAGGTTGCAGTGAGCTGAGATCATGCCACTGCACTCCATCCTGGGCGACAGAGTGAGACTCCTATCTCAGATGATAATAATAATAATAATTTAGTGGTCACCTAATGATTTGAACAGAGGTTATGCTCAAACATCTTGATTGGGAAAAGCCTCACATTGATTTGTATGTAAATTGGGGAATGTATATACAAAGTTGCTGTTAATTTTCAAGTCATCCTTAGCTTTTACTTTTTGCTAGACTATTGGATCTTCTCTGTCCATTTGCATAGTAACCCAGTTAGCCATGGATGGTAGAGAACTTATTTCCACCCTTTTATGGCTTTCGAGTTTCCAGGATCTGCCTGTTAAATTTCTGGCTGTCTGCCAATCTTCTCAGCCAGGTCCATACCTTGGGCTTACAAAGCTGTGGATTTTTCCTGTTCTTTCCTAATTGAATTCACCACTCAGAGTAGTTTTTACCTACTGGTTAACACTGAGTGTGTTCCCTCTGGCAACAACACTGCTGGTTTTTGTGACCAACCTTGAACTAATAAAACCATTCTCACCAACCAAGTTGATCGTAGTGGTGGGTGTGTGAATAACCTCGTGCAAAAAGGCCACTGACTCCCCTTACCCTAATCTGAAGCTCAAGCACTTTTTCAGCAGTAAACATTTCTTGTTTTCTGCATTTCATCCATTTCCAGTACTCTGGAATGGTTGTTTTTGACAATCTCGTTCAGGTTTGTACTTGTTTTTTTATGGAGAGGAATTACTAACCTCTTAATACCATCACAACTACAAGTTCTTTTCTGTGTTTACATTTGTTTATTCAACTTTATTTTCCACATCTTCTGTATCCATATTTACTTTTCCCTTTCTGTCAGAAACTGAGAAAGATTTTAGTCCTCTACAATTGTGTTATCAATTGATCCTTTTTTTTAAACAGTTTTGCATTGTGTATTTCTGTGTTTTATTAAAATGTTGTGTATTATATTTTTTGGTTAGTATAAAATGTATTACTTTGCCCAGTTTAAAGCCATAAATGCTGTTCTTATATTTTTCACTCATGCTGAATGTTTGGATTTATCTGATGTTATTTTAGGCTGGACTTAAGTAATAGTGACACAGAGTTCATCTATGTCATCAGTTCCAAGACTACTAGTTGTGGTGATTCACTAGAAAGATTCAGAGTACTCAGCACATGTACTCATGACTAAGATTTGTTACAGTGAAGGATACAAAACAAAATTGGCAAAAGAATAAGGTGGCTGGGGCAAAGTCCAGAGGAAACCAGGTGCAAGTTTTCAAAAGTCCTCTCCCAATAGAGTCGTGGAAGACTTGTTTAATTCCCCCAGAAGCAAGTTGTCACAATGCTTATAAGTTTTGTCTAACAGGGAAGCTCATTAGAGACTTGATGACCAGTTTCTACTGGGGGCTAAGTATTTAGGCATCTTTTGCCTAGTATATACTAAAATCCCAGTCTTTCAGAGGGAAAGCAGGTGTCCAGCATTAACCACATCGTTTGCACAATGTATACACAGTAAACCACCATTATTAATTAGGGAACAGTAGGAACATTTCTGAAAGCCAAATTCCCAGATACCAGACAAGGGCCAGCCTTGCAAGGAGGTTTATTTAAGTATAGCTTAGTCTCAGGCTTGCTGTATTAAATTCTTTAATTCTTTTCTATACAACATCTTTGTCTTTTTTTTTTTTTTTAATTGAACTACTTCTGGTATTTCACTCATGAGTATAATGACCTAACTTCTTTTGTTGGCTTTTTTGCAATTAGGGGTTTGAACCCCAAATGATTTAAAAATATTTTTCTCTTAATTTGGAAGTAATGTAATTTTATTCACATATGAAATTAGGGATCATCATTTATAGTTTTGGTTTTTGTTTCAAAAAAATCTTTCTGTCGTTTCTCTAAGCCAAAAATAAAGTGTGTGCTTGTTTTGAAACTCTAATAGACAAAATACTGCATGATTTAAATTACATGCTTAGAAGTTTTATATTTGACTATTCTTTGTATCTCCCACACATCATAATGCCTTTTTTCTTTTCTCAGCACGATTACGTGGTGTTCATGATGGTTTGTTCACTGGACAGATAGATGCTGTGGATACTCTTAATGCTACTTATAGAGTAACTTTTGATAGGACAGGGCTTGGTACCCATACCATCCCTGATTATGAAGTTCTTGTAAGTAGTATTTCATAATACATTTGTGTTTTATGCCTGTTAAATGTGTTATGTAGAGTTGTTTTTTAGAAATCGTATTTTATGATAGAATTGACTTTAGCTCACAGAGGAAGAGATCCTTAGCGGTCCCCAGCCCTATCTGCTAGACCCCTAGTTCAGAAATATACTTAAGTCTTCTATTTTCTAGGAACTGGCATTCCTCTGTTGGACCTTAATGATATAGCACTTTAGTATAACCAAACTGATGAGTCCTGATGAAATAACCTTGGAGAAGAAGCTACATAACATTTTCATTGCAGCTGTTAGGTTAATGTGTAGTCCTCTTGTAAAATTATTTTTAAAGTATGAAGTAACATCATGTACTTATTTGTTCTCCTGTTTTATCTTCAGAGGTATGCAGGATGGGTGTTAATTACCTTCACTTTTTGCATGGTGAAACTCAGACATCTCAGACATAAAGTACAATTGTGTAGTTTATTCAAGGCTCTGTATTTGGTTTCCTGTTAGGCTGAAACTAGAATCAACAGTCTTGCTCTGTTGCCCGGGCTAGCATGCAGTGGTGTGATCTTGGCTCACTGCAACCTCTGCCTAGAACATGTATATATATATATCTCCTAAGTACAGAAATACAATATTGCTTGATATCTCTCCACAATAGGAGAGAAAAAAAATTGGAACTAAATATAGAGCAAAGTACACTGTTCTTAAGTTTTTACATTAAAGGGTGAAATCTTTAAACTCTCTTTTTAAAAAAAGTAAATTGGCCAGGTGCAGTGGTTCACGCTTGTGATCCCAGCACTTTCGGAGGCTGAGGCTGGTGGATCACCTGAGGTCAGGAGTTCAAGACCAGCCTGGCTAACATGGTAAAACCCTGTTTCTAGTAAAAATACAAAAAATTAGCTGGGTGTGGTGGTGCGCACCTGTAATCCCAGCTACTCAGGAGGCTGAGGCAGGAGAATTGCTTGAACCCAGGAGGTGGAGGTTGCAGTGAGCCGAGATTGTGCCATTGCACTCTAGCTTGGGCAACAAGAGTGAAACTCCATCTCAAAAAAAACAAACAAAAAAACAGGTAAACTGCTTCTCTGTTTAATTAATTTAACTATTTTTATGAGATCACCCAAATATTTCTCTCTGACTAAATAAGAGTTAATTTTAATTATTGTAGGATATATTCAGGCAGCCTAAATGAAGATAACCAAGGGTGGCCAAAAAACACTTTAATATTAATCTTTGATTCTCTAAACTATTTTGACCCTTTTTTTTAAATTTTTTTTTTTTTTTGTAGGTTCATTCTTTTGGGAGCAAAGTAGCGTTTTCGCATTCTGTTTTACATTCTAGCCTTTGATCTGTATAGACTAATATGCAAGTAATACATTCTATATGAATCATAGAATATGCGTGAGTGTATATCTCAAGCTGAAGTACAGTGATTATAAAGCATAAATGATTGGTAAAGTTCAAATTTTGTGGATTATTCTGTTTTCTCAGAGTAATGAGCCTCATGAGACAATGCCAATTGCTGCCTTTGGACAAAAACAGCGGCCTTCTCGATTTTTTATGACCCCACCACGTTTACATTATACTCCTCCTCTCCAGTCACCAATTACAGTAAGCATATTTTAGAAATACCATCAATAATTTGATTGATTATTATGAAGGTGAACTTTGTTCTCAAGAAATACACATCTGTTACAACAACTTCAAAAGGTATGCACACTATTTTGAGTTGAAAATGTTAGATAAAATAAATACTTGCTTCAACTCCAGAAATATTTTCCTTTTCATTGGATTTTATAACAGAATTTTCTCTTTTTCTGAAAATAAGATACCTCCTCTGAATAGTCAATGATGAAATGATTCTCTTTTATTCCCATAGGATAATGATCCTTTATTAGGACAGTCACCATGGAGAAGTAAAATTTCTGGCTCTGACACTGAAACGTTAGGTGGTTTTCCAGTAGAATTTCTTATACAAGTGGTAAGAATTGTCTTGAATATCTTGGCAGTTTATCTAAAAACTCAATGTCTTCTGTGTTATTAAAGTTGAAAATTTTTCTAGGACCACATATTTATCACCGTGTAGGTTTTAAGAACTGCTATTTCCAACAAAACCTGAAAATAAAAGTTATAAAAACCAAGAAAGAATTACAGATCTTTCTTCTTGAGCTTTGTCTTGTGTCTGAGTTCTTATTATTCTGCTATTTTAAGGGCTCAAACGTTCTAGCATATGTTCTGTGAAATTCTGAATGTTTGGCTGTTAATAACTGGGGTAACTATGAAGAGTTTTATTTAGTAACCTCAGCATATTCTGCCATCATCATTCAATTCAATAGTTACGATGCCCTGGCTAGCTTACATGGTTAGAAGAAATTTTATTTCTTTTCAGAGTCTAGAAACAGGCATTCACTTGCTAAGTACTAAGAAATCTAAGCCTAAACTCAAATAAGTGGAGAAGTATTATATTGGAAAGTTTTCTTAATAGTCAGACTCTTAAAAATGTAACGAGTTTGAAAATTAGATTAAATAAATGTTTTAGTTTGAATCATAGTCTACTAATGTATTGTTTCATTTCTTTTCCTTTTTGGAAAATAAAAACTACTTTGGCTTGGAATAGATATGATCTTTATTTTTATTTATTTATTTATTTTGAGACTGAGTCTCGTTCTATCGCTCAGGCTGGAGTGCTGGAGTGCAGTGGTGTGATCTTGGCTCACTGTAATCTCTACCTCCTGGGCTCAAGCTTTTCTCCTACCTCAGCCTCCCGAGTAGGTGGGATTATAGGCACGCACCACCATGCCCGGCTAATTTTTTTTTTTTTTCTAACAGAGATGGAGTTTCACCATATTGGCCAAGCTGATCTTCAACTCCTAACCTCAAATGATTCCCCAACCTTGGCCTCCCAAAGTACTGGGATTACAGGCATGAGCCACCACTCCCAGCCGATATGATTTTTATGAATAAAACTGTTTACAATAGGCCAGGTGTACCTGTAATACCAGCACTTTGGGAAGCCGAGGCACATGGATCACCTGAGGTAGGGTGTTCAAGACCAGCCTGGCCAACATGGCAAAACTCTGTCTTTACTAAAAGTACAAAAATTAGCTAGGTGTGGCGGCTCATGCCTGTAGTCCCAGTACTTTGGGAGACTGAGGAGGGTCCCATTGCTTGAGCCAAGGAGTTCAAGACCAGACTGGGCTACAGTGACACCCCATGTCTATACAAACAGATAAAATTAGCAGGTGTGGTGGCTTGTGCCTGTAGTCCCAGTTACTTGGGAGGCTGAGGTGAGAGGATTGCTTAAGCCCAGGACATTGAGGCTGCAGTGAGTCAAGATCATGCCACTGCTCTCCAGCCTAGGTTACAGAGGAAGACCCTGTTCTCAGAAACAAAACAAAACACAACAAAAAGGGCTAGGCTCGGTGGCTAACACCTGTAATCCCAACACTTTTGGGAGGTTGAGGCAGGCAGATTGCTTGCAGTTGAGTTCCAGACCAGCCTGGCCAACATGGTGAAACCCTGTCTCTACTGAAAATACAAATATTAGCCAGTTGTGGTGGACTGTGCATGTAATCCTAGCTACTTGGGAGGCTGAGGTACAAGAATTGCTTGAACCCAAGAGGCAGAGGTTGCCTGGGTGACAGAGCAAGACTCCAACTCAAAAACTTTAAAAAAAAAAAAAAAAAAAAAAAAAAAAGGGAGGCCGAGGCAGGTGGATCACGAGGTCAAGAGATTGAAACCATCTTGGGCAACATGATGAAACCCTGACTCTACTAAAAATACAAAAATTAGCCAGAACTGGTGGTGGGCACCTGTAATCCCAGCACTCAGGAGGCTGAGGCAGGAGAATTGCTTGAACCCTGAGGTGGAGGTTGCAGTAAGCTGTGATCCCCCTGTGGGCAACAAGAGCAAAACTAACTCTTTCTCTCTCTCTCTCTCTCTCTCTCTCTCTCTCTCTCTGTGTGTGTGTGTGTGTGTCTGTCTCTCTCTCTCTCTCTCTCTCTCTCTATATATATATATATAAAACATAATCCGTGAAAATATTCATAGTGTTTACCTTTTGCAGTTGATGTTATTTTGAAGAAAAGCCTTGTCAGTTGTGTGTGTGTATGTGTATGGTATTCTGTGTTCCTCAATCACATTTTTTAAATTCATTTTTAAATTTTTATTTATTTATTTATATGAGACAGAGTCTTGTTCTATCTCCCAGGCTGGAGTGCAGTGGCATGATCTCAGCTCACTGCAACCTCTACCTCCTGGGTTCCAGTGATTCTTCCATCTCAGCCTCCCAAGTAGCTGGGATTATAGGCATAGCCACCACGCCCAGCTAATTTTTTTATTTTTAGTAGAGATGGAGTTTCACAATGTTGGCCAGGCTGGTCTCGAACTCCTGACCTCAAGTGATCTGCCCTTCTCAGCCTCCCAAAGTGGTAGGATTACAGGTGTGAGCCACTGCACCTGGCCTATTTATTTATTTTTTTAAGACAAGTTCTCGCCCTGTTGTCCAGGCTAGGGGATAGTGGTTCCATCATGGCTCACTGCAGCCTTAACCTCCCAGGCTCGGACAATCTTCCCACCTCAGCCTCGCAGGTAGCTGAGACCCCAGGCATGTACCACAACTGCCAGCTAATATGTTTTTTATTAGTTTTGTAGAGATGGGGTCCCACTGTGTTACCTAGGGTAGCCTTGAACTCCAGGGCTTGGTCCTCAAAAGTGCTGAGAATACAGGCTCAGGCCACCATGCCTAGCTAATGATATGTTGTTAGTTATCTTTGCAATATAACATGTCTTATAGCTTTGGCTTCTCAAGGCAGATGGATGTTTTTATATGAAAGATTGAAAATGTGATGAAAGCCAAGACTTATTCTTTCCACAAAGATACTTGTTTTTAATTCTTTCTTTTAAATAGTGGAAGTATAAACAAAGCTAGTATGTTATATTTGAACAGGTGTTGTGTGTGTGTTTGAGAGAGTTTGAGAGAGAGAGAGGTCTGTAACAGAGGGATCCAAAAGCTAAGTACTACTACACTGTGTCTAAAGTAGTGGTATTTTTATTGACTTTTGTTATATTTGATTTTTAATTCAAAACACTATTTTTTAGAGCAGTTTTAGGTTCATAGCAAAATTGAAAAGAATATACAGATATATCCCATATACTTCTTGACCCCACACATGTGTAGTCTGCCACCATTATCTCCCCCACCAGAGTGGTACATTTGTTAACAGTCAATGAACCTTCATTAACACATCATTTCACCTAAAGACCATAGTTCACATTAATGTATTTAAAGATGTGGAACATTTTAAGATTTTGGACAAATGTGTAATGACATGTATCCACCATTATGTATCATAGAGTTGTTTTCGCTGCCCTAAAAATCTTCTGTGTTTCACCTTTTATCCCTTTCCCTGAGCCCTGGAAGTCACTGATGTTTGTCTTTTGCAGACTGTCATATATTTGAAGTCATATGGTATATAGCCTTTTCATATTGGTTTCTTTCACTTACTAATACACATTTAGGTTTCTTTCATGTCTTGATAGTTCATTCCTTTTTAGGATTGAGTAATATTACATTGTTGGGATGTACCACAGTTTATTTTCTCATTGACAAACTGAATGACATCTTGGTTGCGTTCAAAATTTGGCAATTAAGAATAAAACTGCCATAAATATCTGTGTGCAGGTTTTTGTATAGACGTAAGTTTTCATCTGCTTTGTGTAAATACCAAGGAGTGTAATTGCTGGATCATATGCTGAGAGTATGCTTAGTTATGTAAGAAACTGACAAGCTGTGTTCTAAAGTGGTGGTACCATTTTGCATTCCCAGCAGCAGTGAATGGGATTTCCTGTTGTTCCACATCCTTGTCAGCATTTGGTGTTGTCAGTGTTCTGGATTTTGGCCATTCTAATAGGTTCATTGTGGTATCTCATTATTTAAATTTGCATTTCCCTGATGACATATGCATTTCCTCATTGACCATCTTTCCATATGCTTATCTGCCATCTGTATATCTTCTTTGGTGAGGTGTCTGTTAAGGTGTTTGGCTCATTTTTTAATCCAATTGTTTTCTTATTGTTGGGTTTTAAGAGGTCTTTGTATATATTGGAAAGCAGTTCCTTATCAGATGTATATTTTACAAATATTTTCTTCCAGTCTGTGGCTTGTCTTCTCATTCTCTTTATAATGTCTTTGACCAAGCAGAAGTTTTTTGTTTTAATGAAGTTCAGCTCATCAATTCATACTTTCATGGATCATGACTTTGGTGTCATATCTAAAATGTTGTCACAAAACCAAAGTCATCTAGATTTTTTTTCCTGTGTTACTTTCTAGAGGTTTGTTTGTTTGTTTTTGAGATGGAGTTTCACTCTTGTTGCCCAGGCTGGAGTGCAGTGGCACCATCTCAGCTCACTGCAACCTCTACCTCTGGGGTTCAAGCGATTCTCTTGCCTTGCCTCCCAAGTAGCTGGAATTACAGGCATGTGCCACCACACCTGGCTAATTTTGTATTTTTAGTAGAGATGGGATTTCTCCATGTTGATCAAGTTGGTCTCGAACTCTTGACCTCAGGTGATCTGCCTGCCTGGGCCTCCCAAAGTGCTGGGATTACAGGCGTGAGCCACTGGGCCGGCCACTTTCTAATTTTACAGTTTTGGATTTTACATCTGTGTTTGTGATTCCCTTTGTGAAAGATGTAAGGATTTTGCCTAGATTCATTTTTTTTTTTTGTATGTGGATGTCCATTTGTTGCCAGCACCATTTGTTGAAAAGACTGACTTTTCTCCACTGTTGCCAATTTGTTGGGCAACTGCTTTTGCTCATTTATTGAAGATCAGTTGACTGTTTATGTGGATTTATTTCTGGGCTCTCTATTCTGTTCCATTGATCTAGTTATTTTATTTTTTGCCACTACCACACTGTCTTCATTACTGTAGCTTTATAGTATCTTTCAAAGTTGAGTAGTGTCAGTCCTTCATCTTTGT